ATGATAGCGGTGTGGGCACTAAGCTACCAAGCAGTTCGAGCCTAGTGGAATTCAAAATGAAGCAAGCGGCTCATCGCGATACTGACCAATTAAAAAAATAACTTCGGCAATAATCAACAATTGACATAATAGTGTTTAAATGCACAGTTCACGATAATTTTGAGTAGTCCAGATTATGATGAAAAATGGGCGACAAGACCNGTGTGGGCACTAAGCTACCAAGCAGTTCGAGCCTAGTGGAATTCAAAATGAAGCAAGCGGCTCATCGCGATAGTGACCAACCAAAAAAATGACTCCTGCAAGAATCAACAATTGACATAATAGTGTTTAAAGGCACAGTTCACGATAATTTTGAGTAGTCCAGATTATGATGAAAAATGGACGACAAGACCGAAAATAGTGCGATAAAGGTGAAGAAACTGCGTGAATCGGTGTTTATAAACTGAATGAAGGCTTCGAAAAACCGTTAAACGGGGGGCTGGACGAGAACGAGTTTAGAAAAATGAAGAAGAATGGGGCGTTTGGACGAGCTATACAATGTGACTCACTGCGTACGTGTGGGTCCTGGGGCGAATAAAAGACTATGGTATGCGAAAATTAATTCAATTATGAGCATGAGTAACAAAAAAAAACCTAATAACAGCAAAAGTAGCTCACCTTTTTCAGCCAATAGGAGTAGGAAATTAAATAAGAAATCACGGCAGCAGAAAGAATAACAGTGGAAAAAAGAATGGGAGAAAAACATCGCCTCATCACTCGGCGACAGCCGGTTGTGTGTGGGTCCTAGAACGAAAATTTGCAATATGTATTGTCTTGACACTCGTCTCTGACGTCTGACGTGACATCGATGGCGAGGCGGGAAGGCTTTTGACATCCCCGCCCATTGAAGTATCGTGAACTGTGTCTTCAAGGATTAGTACAGTACATGGTACCAAAGTGACAGTTACCATTGTGAATATCCTCTATGAATCAGAGATTTGTCCGTCACGGTGGGAAATGAATTGGAGTGATCCATCTCCCATCGGGCCGGATTAATCTCCTGCCGAATCACGTGATTTATGCACCATTCAGTGATTAGAATAAAAGCTGCGACAAATGGAATCCCTTCTCCTCCTATCGGGGACGATTTTCGTTCAAGTCTGGGCAGGAATTTTCAAAGGTGACTAGTTGCCAGAAGTGTAAACAAAATTTGTGGGCAGTAGAGGTACACACAAAAACATTCCTGATAGGGAAGACTTCCTATTGTGGGATTATGTTTTGGCAGAGTGACGTCCACCTTACAGCTGCATATTCCGAAAAAATAAACAATGGAAAGGGAAAAATAATGTTATTCAAAAAGATCTTATGGTCAGATTAGGGATGCGCCCCGTCGCCATCGAAACTCGGTCACGCCGCAGCCGCGCATGCGGGGGGTCAGCCCGCGACACTTGACAGACGTCGCAGTTGTTAGAGGGGCGTGCCTACGGTTTGCGCTTGGTGCACGGCAGTCGGGTATGGGTACTTACGTGCGTCCGAGGATGCGCGCGGCAAATTGCGCGGCGAAGTGCGTGGGGATTCGAACGGCTCTGGCGCCTATCATTGGGGCCCAAATTTGAAGTAGAGTAGATCGGTAGTATCAGCTGACCCTACTAAACTACTCTACTTCGAGTTTGGGCCCCAATGCTAGGCGCCAGAGTCGTTCGAATCACCACGGACTTCGCCGCGCAGTTTGCCGCGCGCATCCTCGGACGCACGTAAGTTCCGTCCCCCACGGCAGTCAGCCAATGAGAAGATAACACGGGCAAATGCAAATCGTTCGCTCTACTCTATTTTGGTGGTACTGGAATGTCATCTCGAGACCTCAGTGGAGATTGCCGCACGCGAAGTGGGCGGGATGACCTACTTTCGACGGACGCGCGCAACGGACTTTCGCCGCCAGATTAGGGTTTCCGCGCATAAGAACCATGGTGACCGGAGAGAACAAGTATGTACGACGGGTTCGAATCCCGTTTGGAACCAAAATTTTGTCCATAACCCACCAAACTTGGGAAGTGCCCCTATCAATTCTAAAAGCAGCCTGGATTAAAAAAGAATAGGGATATTTAGGGATAATGACACTCCTCTACAGCTAGAAAAAAAACAATGAAAAATAGTAAAAATTAAAAATTATATTTTAGTTTCAAAAACTCGAGAGCATGTCTAGCAACACCCGAGTTTCATACCTATACGGCCTCTGAGAACAGCAAATAAAACCGAAGAAACCATTTACACTAATGGAATTCCCCCTAGGGAAAAACCAAATGCATAATGTGCATTACCAGTAAAGACCATATGGACTACTCATGAGTACTTCGAAGAATGGTGTACTCAAACCCTTCAAAAACACAGCTAAACGACAAAAAGTTCATTCAAGAGTACTCTGCATGGAAATTTGATTTCTGAGCTGCAATCCCATTTTCCGAATCCTCTCAACGTTCCGAGAAAATCTGGGGTCGAATATGGGAATGAGAACTTTGCAAGAACTAAATTTCATACCGTAGTAAGAGCCGTGAAATAGTTGATGAACCAGTGCCGTGTCATAGAAAAAGGTGTGTTGGAAGCGATTATCTTGCGAACAAGACGTGCTACTTGACACCCGCCTGGAGGGTGCATACTCACCTACGTGCGTGCGGTCGCAACGCGTTTTCACTGTTTATACTTGACTGCTACGGCCTTGTACGTCGGAATTCTGTTAACACAAATCAATTAACAGTACCAGCCCCTAGTTGAACTTGGCTGCAACTTATCCCACGGCTAGTGGTTTTTCCAGAAACAAGTTTATAAGCTCAAAAATATGGTTCAAGAGACACACAAAAAGACATAAGAATTGAAATTTAGCAAACTCCTGCCGTAATCCTTTGCTGATTATTTTATTAGACGTAAATTATCATGTATCAATCGGTAAATGGTTTTGGACAACACAGCAAACACTACAAAACCCGCAATGTCTCAGGAAAAGTCTCGATGCCAAGATTACTGTAGGAATTCCATAGCTATCTAAGTTTTCGCTCTTGCAGGAACAATAATGAATATGTTAATGGACCTTTTGGCCCTCACTTGCTTCTGCTAGGTTTAGCCTTGTATTCTCACCGTGTTCAGTCAGCCTTTAGAAGTAGGTTTTATTTAAGATGTCACACAACCGCTCTATACATATTTCCAAGGAATGCGATAGAAAATAGTGGAAATCTTTAAAAGGAATTACGGGCGGAACCAGAGAGAAGTAGTTCTCTTATGATTGCCACAAAATGCGTAAAATGAGTTATAAGACTACTTAGACATAAGTAATTTGATATACCTCAATGAAATCTATACATGAATAGTTCCACTACAGCCAGAACATAGAAAAAAGTGAAAATGAAGCAATATACGACCATACCAATCTAAATAAAGATACTTGGATATAAAAGCCAGGAGAGGGGAGGTGACTTTTGAGGATATCCGAGCCGAATCGATTGAAAAGTTCGCTGCCGAAATGGATTTTGAGTTGGTCAAAAACTTAGCTCAAAAAGTGCGCTCTTGTAGCCTCCCTCCAAGGCTTCAAATATGTGCCATTAGATTCGATTTCCGTTATCTCCTCCACAGAGCAAACCGAAGACGAGTGTGTGAAATTACTGCTCGCTCCCTGAACGGAGGTGGTGTAGTGGCAAGCGGCGCACTACCACACACGTTGGTCACGAGTTCGAGCCCCGAATCGGCATCCGCCTAGGCCAATCAAGTCTCCCATCCCACCATGAATTGGTACCAGATCCGTCAGGAAGGTCAGAAAGCACTGACTTGTACATCGGCTGTCCGCCGCAAGTCATTATATAGGTCACATACGCATTCAGCACGTCGCTACGGTTTCAATGGAAGTCGAATGCGGGCGGCACATCCTTCAGACAGAATTGATCAATGCCCGAAGGCTTTATCCTTATCCTTTAGTCGCGTTGGAAAATGTATAAACGTACACAACGATGCGAGACCCTCCTTTGACCCTCAAAGGGTATGGATCGCCAGTCGAACTCGTCCCCATCCCTCGCGCGCGGCGCCTCGTTTAGCGGTAACTCCAAGCAGCTTGCAAAACTAACAGGAAGGATATTCTTCCCTGTGTAACAAATCCGCTTGAGAGTAAATCAGACTTAATGACATACTCTCAGCAAAAAAACGGCTTTCTCAATGAATTCTACAGTCTGGCCGTCAACTGAGCACTCTGCTGGGGAAACTGGAGAATCGGCTTCCAAAGCGCCATTCAACTACACTCAGTGATACGTTGACGAGTAGCCTAGGCAATAAATGTTACATCCCAAGTTAAGTTAGGACATGAAGGAATTCACTCTCAAGTAGGGGAAAGGACCAACGAACAATGGGCAAAACTGATGACACTTCGATATGAGAAAGCGGTGCCGCCTAGACTTAAGGCATACGTCAAGAGGCGACATCGCAGTCGGCGTACTGAGATCTGATGGTCACGCCCCGCAACCTCAGATGGTCCTGATCACAGGGGCATGAACGTGTTTTAAAACCGAAAAAAGAAGCGATGTATACCTACGAAAAAAAAAATTCCGGGGCTCTTACTGTTGGAGCACAAAAGCGACACCGTCGGAGTAGATTATGAGTAGAGGCGGGTGTTTATTAATTGCTCAAAATTACAGTTTACAGTGAACCAGCTGTGGTACGCGACCATTCAGGATATCCTGGTCGGTATCCGTTATGTTGAAAAGAAGAGAATTGGTCGGAAAATAGAAAATATATAGAAAAGCCGTAATAAACACAAACTTTTGTACTGTTTATTTCTCGTGATCTTTTTGATTCAACTGGGTAAAGATCCGACTTCTGAGACTCGTAGTCATCACTATGATACTCTGCTCGATAGTATTCAGTGGAAGCAAATCAGAAGGCCAACAAAGACACCTGAGTACTCGATCGATTTGTATTTACATTATTACATTGGAATGATTCGGAAAGAATTACATAGTCTGGTTGATGCAGGTTCCTAGAGATAATTAGGACAGCAATCGTCTATTCACACTGTTGAAAAGCATCAGACCATCCTCTTTCGCCTTAAAGTATTGCGTTATGACACTTCCATTGAGGAACGGTTCGAAGTTTTCACGTTCGACGTTGAATGATAGCGGTCGAAACTTCGCCAGTATCTCTCTGGGTACGATTCCTAGACTCCATACATCGTCGAGCTGAAACTTTTAATTTATTCATCTGTAACGGCGATCCGACCTACTACTTTTCCAGTATAAGTAAAAGGAATTGTATTACACACTCAGATACCTCATCGCTAGAGACACATTGGAAACGAAAAATAAATATGAAGGGCAAAAAATGGGTAATATCTACGTATTCACGCATCTTCTTTGTTGAGGAGTCCCTTGCAATAAGGGACCTCATGAAAAAAAGCTATGTGGAGTGGCAAGGGCCAGCAATAGGCAGGTGAACTCATGGGATGAAGTTTATTATTTATGTCGTGCTGAGCGACTTAACCTTTCCCTGCTCCTCGTATTCGTTTCCATCCATGGAAGAAGTTTTCGCAGGTGCAGGTTCTATCCTTATCTCTGGGCAGCCAAAGGTTAGCACTGGGATGATCGAGACTACTTGAGAGGTAGTACGAGGCCGACACTGATAAATCCGTAGTCCAGCAACCTATCCGCGGACAGCTGTGAGCCAAAAACAATAACTTAAATATGTATGCTCATTCTCCTAGACCCGAGGGAGTCTCCAATACAACAGCGTTTTGTCGGACCGCTCGGTATGAATTGCTAGGACAGCTATCTCAACCAAGAACGACTGTAGCGAAGTGTGGTCAGAAGCCTAGATTGAGGATTTGGTGATGCAAGCGAGGAAGATCAAGTCGGGAAGACAGCGCTTACCACATGCCGGTTTCAGGAATAATGAAAAATCTCTAAAATGCAATAGCATAGATTCCGGGTGAAACGGCCCTTGCCAACATGGTCATGAAATCAAATTCGCTCGAAAGACTGTCAAGCGGAATAGAACAAATGCGATTTGGAGGTGTTCGCTTTTCTGCTACGATTTTTCTAGAAACTATCAAGAAAAACTACTTTTTTCTAGACGTCAGTCTCATTACCTACCCAAAGATGTGGTATGGTATTGGTGGCTTCAGCCAACGCCGCTAATGTCGACGGTGTAGCCGCGTAGACAGGGCTCAGACAGTACTCGGGAAAATACTTGTACGGATACTCCTTCCTCAACACGTACCTTAGCCAGACATTGTACTTACCGTGTCAGATGAATCTACGTTTATATCTGGGAACTCACCACCGTTCTCGTGTATCGCGATTTACCAAAGGATGCTTAACTGATCGGCAGTAAAGTATGTTGCCAACTGTATCGATTTCTGACAGATACTTGAACATTTGATCGACATTCCATGCGAGATCATCATCCACTTTCAGTACTGCTCTCACATTTGTACAATTGTGCCGTACGTAATTCGAATATGAGTATGTCTGCAAAAGAATGGATCCATAGTATGTGAGAAGTATAGGCTTAGGTGTGTACATACTACACGGGCGACATTGGGCGATGTTGACAAGGCCGTCCAAAGTTATGGGGACTTATGCTGCTTTGCTTGATCACCTCATTAAGTACATATAGATTTACCTTCTGTAACTTCCTTTACGGTCAGTCTATAGGCTATGTCAAAGATCGGGTCTACACAAAACCATACCGTTCTGCCATAAAGAGATGCTGGGTCGGGTCCAGATGTTCCATCTGGATCAAACGGAGCGAGCAACTTTGGAGGCACGCTCCTTGACTGCCTCTCGACAACTTTGCTCTCACTTCTTTGTTCGTCACCGATCGCACATCTACCCGATTATATCGTCCAACTATATGGATCTTGCTACGACCAATTAATTATTAATTGCTATCCTTATCAGCTGTAGTAACAGTGGCCTTGGTCACTTTGAAGGCACAGTTTACGATCAAAATGGCCTCAGGTATTTCTACCTAGAAGCATGTGACCGCCGAAGGTAGCTAAGGGACGTTGTCAGGTCGAAAAACGGCCAAGATAGGGCGTAATAAAGGTTCAGAACCGGCTTAACCAACGTATACACCAAAGGCGGACGAGTTCTCACGGCGTCGAAGAGGCTGTACGGGTTGCCTCACTCGCACTGGGACGCGCACGTTTCACGCAGACAGCTTACTGTGGCCAGCTTTATAAACCTATTCCAGGCATGTGCACCTACACCAAAAAGACGAGGAAAGCGTAAAAACAAAAACACCTTTAGCGTCAGATTACGGTAGCTGTCGATGAAATTCGTTTGCAGTATGTCGCCATAGCTTCGAAATTCTTGCTGAATATCCGCGTTGACTTTCTCATTCTGAGAGAGGCCGACTGGGAATAGCACCGTGAAATGATACTGAAAAAACAACCTAGAACGGTCGTAAAAAAAAGCCTCATCTATAAATGTAGTAAATTAAAGGCGCTAACGATTGGAGACAGGGCCTGAGTTTCGATCGTACTCTGTTCACTTTTCCTCTGTTTTACTTTCGAATTATGCATAATGCTATCGCCTGTCCGTCGCCAAGTATGATCGCCTTTTAGACCTATTCTTGGCTAGTTGTCTCGGTTTTCAGAAAATCATAGCTGTCTTGATGTTAGCTGTGCCACCATGCATGTGTACTACACTATGCTGCTGCATGTTTAAAGAAAACTGTGTGGGATTCTAAATCGTTGCGACGAGTACTATGAAGTTAATTTGAACATAAATTTTCATTAAATCACGAACCTTCTTACCTAGACGTCCGTAGGTATTCCGGAATGTCACCCTCACTGATGGTTCCGTTATTCTTGTAAGAACTATGATAAGATATTGGGAGTTACCACAGTGATCACTGGATGGAGAAAGAATAACAGAAGGTGGTCCCGAGAGCTGAAAAGTACCGTTCAGAAGCATTACCAGATAGCATTAGCGGTACCGTACTTATTCAATCACTTTCATGATTTTTAGCATGAGAACCAGGGGGTTTCGATGATGTGACGTTCAAAGCCTTGTATGCTTATGACACTTGGTCACGTACAAGCCCTTCCTTTTACGCAAAAAAGCAGATCTCTTGGAAATTGGAAAGAACTTACCGTCCTGGGTGCTTTGCTATCCAGGAATCGATCACAATTCCAGTACAAGTATTTCATCCATGAGCTATTCAGGAATAATCCAGGAATCGATATGATCAATAGTAAGAGGAAGTACAGAGCGTAAATTCGTCCACCACACATGACCTTTCCTAAACTAAATGATTTCTGGTGGGTTGGATGCATCCATGGCGCGTTCTAAGACGTCTACAACAATTATATTATTAGCATTTGTTTCAAATCCTATCTAATAATTCGTGAACATGGATAAAACAGTGAAAATTAAATATTTGGTTTACGCCAAGCCGCTGTACATCGGAATTGTAAAGGTATACGAACAAAGTTAGATGAGTCGAGGAATAATCATGAGAATGAGCGAGCATTGCCGGAAGGTGAAGGCTAAGGCAAACCTTTGTATTTTCAAAATCCTCGGAAAATGTGAAAATACAACGAAGCGCCTGAGTCATTGCTTTCCTCGCAACTTTCCGACCGTTTAAAGAAAATACTCTGAAGAGCAAGAACGTAGAAATGACCCGATGCGGGTGAACTAAAAGAAACTTTTATCGCAGTTGCATATCGTCGGTAGGCAGATACTGAACCGCCCTATCGTCACAGGATCGCCGATCAAATATCCATGCAGACCGAGCTGGCAATGTCAACCGCTCCCGTTTCTATACCTTAACTTTTCTGCTTCCTATTATGGTATTATTGCTAAAGCGAATTGGCGTTAAGGAACCTCACTCGTACCCTACACTCTCTCTAGGGCCATGCTCAGATGTGTTTGCTTGAAAAGTATTTTTTGGGGTAAGTCTAGAGGTATCTCTGATGACAGAGAAAATGAATGCATAGAACTCACTTGGGAAAGATAAAGGTCAAAGTACGAAGCGGCAGACATTCAATCGACTCGCCGGTATTACGCCATGAACTGGTTTTCCACGATGGATCGCAGCCATTTTTGATAGCGCGGGTGACCTGTACATGAATTATATGAATAGAGTCCGTTATTCTGTGACAGCTTTTTCTATCTTCTCAGTGAGTATAATATCGATCAGCTTTCGTGTAGAAACGACAGTATTGATTACCAGGATGTGATCAATACTTTCTTTTTTACACGTTTCTATACTCTGTGATAATCCTTTTCCAGCGTGATGCTCGTAGGCTCCCACTTCACGTATATTTTTGGGAGACTGCACTATTCCCTGGAAGAGTTTCACCACCTACAGTAAATCTACAGTAATCTGTTTAAAAATTATCCCAAGACATAGTATATAATTAAGCACTATACAACTAAAATGACCTGAGACAATTTTGGTTTTTGTTTTTAATCATTCATTTGCGAACTTCTTCTTTTCTACTTTTTTGTTTCCTTGCACTTGATCTTTTTCATACTAACGTGCAGTTCTACGAATGGGCGTAAGAATAAATTAAAGAAGTGATTAAACAAAAAATAAACAAATGTAATAATAAAACAAAATCGAAATAAGTTAAATTAATCTCCTCTGCACCAACTAATTTTACCTCCTTCAAAAAACTAACCAACACTTCATCTCATTGGACTCAGCAGGGTGGCAACGGGATCGTCCAAATAGATTAAACATAGCGTTCCATCCGTCAGTCGCCTGCGAGAATGCACTGAACAGACCCTCGGCTGTCCCTGTAAAATCAAATGCCTAGAGCATATCAGAAAGGAATCTGAATGCTGGAATCTCATACAGGCCTCAATACTGTGTAGTTTAAAGACTTACCTCAAGAACTTCATCACTTGAAGTCGATAACACCCTATTGTACCCCCTTCACCGGGCCCCTCTTCCCATATCTAACATTGTATCAAAAACTTTCTTGTGTGCTTCTAAAACCACTTAGACCTTTTTCACAAAAAAAATCTCAGCAATTGATGTGCAGTTCTTCTAGACCCTCTAATTCCAATGATTTCGAGTAAGCAATATCCACTGAGCACCTTCAAAACCATATAGGTTGTTATGTAAACTTCCGAATAGTTAAAACTCTTTATAACCATTCACAACAAAGTTCAGTAAGACACTTTTTAAGTTAAAGAAGCCGAAATATTAAATTTAACATGATGACATTTAGTTTTGAAAGAAATGCAACATCCTAACAACAAACAAGAAGGTCAACAACGTATCACACTGCTTTTGGCTTAAAAAGAAAACAGAAAAGAACGGTATTCTCAAGCTCAACCTCTGAGGCTCCAAAGATAGAATGGATAAGATTCCATTGGATGCCTGAGATCAATTGGATCTGTAAGGGCTTCAAAAGACGCTTTTTGGACTCAATGAACACTAAACAAACCTTCGAGCCTCTACTTTGAATACGGTAACCAAGAAACATATTAATTACATATAAAAGGACTATAAAACTCCAACTGTTCCCCTTCCTGTTAGAATGCTCGACAGTATACTCGCCATGGGTGAATACGAGCCTTAATTCGCTATCAAAGCGAGGCGGTTTTTGGCCGGTTGTCTCATAAGCTTTCTAACTGCAACTTCTAACAGTGACCCTCACGCACGGGCCAGATTCTCCATAATCCACACACCAGTAGTCAGAGGATAGTAGAGAAAATCAGGAAATGGTGGCCATTCACTTAACCTTTCAAAGTCTACATTGTTCTTATATGTTCGAATATCGGCTCTCTCCACTATACTCTTGAATCCATAGTTAAGATCCATTAAGACCCAAACCATTAGCCATCGCCTGGGCCAGCTGAAGATGACCCCAGGACAACTGAAAATTGGGTATTTACGGAACAGCCTCTCTGAGCATAGATGTGGAATAATCTTTGGAGACTATCAGATTAGGTAGCCAACCAACGAGAAGTCTCGTTGGCGCCAATAGTGGTTATAGATTTTTAGGCTCGTAAAAAAACTCGTCCACAACCCAGAGTAGTACTTTCCAAAAAACTTCCTAAGCGCATCATCAGGAGGTATTCCATTTCTAACGGTTGGTTCGCTAAGAATCTACCGAAACAGATCCGATTCAAAGCAGACATTCTATGGATGCTCCTTCTGAGAACAGTCACTACCGAAAGAAAGCCCTAAAAATTTTCAAGGCAGTGTTTAGGATGACGCTGACGGGACATAGTTGAGAGATGCAACAGGGACTTCTTCAATGCCTGGGAATGCACTCTTCACTTCTGCAATCTTCGATGGATGCACTGCGATAGCTCGGACATAGTTCTGAAAATACTCTGGTGAGAATTAGTGAGCACTAAAAGGACCTATCTATGGTCCTAACAAACCTCAAACAGATTGGCCACTCGTGGACCGCCCAAACGTAGCATATCCTCAGGGGTAGTATTCCAGACTTTCTCACATAGCACCCTGAATTATTTTAAATGGCTGTGCTTGCAAAAAAAATTAAATATCACACTGCTTTGCGATCTCACTTTCTGTAATTTGAAGGAGTTCCCCGTATGTCGTTAATGATCGACAGCTTTCCAGCGCCACTCACCTGAAAATCAGATGATTACGAACACACGCCATGACGCCAACTGATAGCCGGAAGTTTTGAGAAGATCAAAAAATATAAAGGATAAAGTCTTTTGGCGTTTATCGATCCCGCCTGAGGGATGCGCCCTGCCTTCGACTTCCATTAGAGTTTAAGTGGTGTAATGGGTGTGTACGTGACCTATACAATGACTTGCTGTGGCCAGCCGAGTACAAGACAGTGCTTTTATCCTCCCTGGTGAGTTTGATATCAATTAACTGTCCCCGAAAAGATAGAAGGCTTGGTTGGCCTAGACGAATATCAACTCGGGATGGGAACCCGTGAGCATGGGTATGAGATAGTGCGTCACTTGCCGCCACACACCTCAGCACTTGGAGAAGATTATTTTATATTTTTTTTTCACACGACAGCTTTTCATCGGTTCAACTACTGATGGCCGCAGTATTTTATATAGTGCTTTGTCCAATTAACATTTAATTATGTTAACTGCCAATTGCCAATGCCAATTATTAATTCAACAAATGGAAATGAACATCCGGCAGACGTACCTTCGCCACCCGGCACCAAGACTTTTTGCCATCATAAAACAGCGCCGAAAAGTTCCATGGTTCAAGGTTAAGAAGAAGATTAATCACTCAAGCTCGGGAAGATGCTTGGACAAATATCTTACAGTTAACCTGTTATCACTCAGCTCTGCCTACACCGCGTTTAACATTTCCCTCAGATAAATTAAGCCGATCCCGTACCTGAGAAAGCCTATTACGTTTTTTTTTGGATTTGCCCTTGCCTCAGGGCTTCCGGAATGTCTCTGAATATGGCTTAGGTTGCAGAGTTCAAGTCGTACCGCTCGCTATATCTTGCTAGGGATAATTCAAGACAAACTTTGAGGCGCCGCAGAAATGGTTGAAGAACCTAACCCGACAGAGAAGACCCCCAAAAATAAATTCAATGTTGACCGAAAGTCGTTCGCGTTTAGGGAAGAATCAAAAAGGAACAAGAAACAATCGAGAAGGAATTTTCAACACTTTCAGTAGCCAACTTTCTGCCCAACTAAATGTAAACTTAACAAAGAGGTGAAAAAACGCACCGTATCCTCTTTTTCTACCAATTCACATATCAATGAACGTTTAGCCGCTTCGAATTCCGATTCAACCACCTTCCCGCTTTTGATAACATCATTCTGAAATTGAAGTGAAATTCAGAAGGCCACGAGAAAATCAACAAGCTGCAGTGAATAAAAATTGAATGAATATTCTTACAACAATCTTCTTCGTTCCTTCATAAGCTTGGGCTGGTTGGGCACATCTATACAGCGATAATGTAATAGTCTTGCGATCTGATCTCACATATATATTCGCTCCATATGCCAACCCTTCACCACGAATACCTCGCCACAGTGGTCCTTAAAATGGAATGGAATGGTTGTAGCGTGAACCCTCACAAAATTTATACGGTGAGAGTACTTAAATATAAAAATATACTTCTTACCCTCACACTGGCTCAAATACTGTGCCAACAGCATGGTCGGTACAAGTTCATCACTCATCCAATCACAATCCATCATGCATACTTGGGAAATGAATGACGATTCAGAGCCACCTACACTTATCACCTTCTGCCTACCCACACATGCAGTATCGATTGATTCTCCAGCTTTCGCCTGAAGTATAATTAAACACCATTAACGGAATTATGTAAACAAGAATTCTGACAATTTCGGAAGTTTTCATAGGTACTTACTACCTTCCCTGAATCGAACAGCATTTTCACTCACTGCTCGTGTTCGCTCAGAGGTAAAGAACAACTCACGCCAAATTTCTCCGCATTTCCATAGAATTTTTCGGCAAAGCTCCACTGAACTGGATCGAACTGTTTGCTCTCAATCAGGTCCACATTACATAGCAAATGAGCATTCACACCATGGGCAAATAAGGTCGCACGGAGCTGAAAACACAGATGAAAAGTTCGAGAAACAATGAGATCGCTTGCAGTTAAAAAAAAAGAAGTCTGAAGGCCAGTGTCAATGAAGGAGATGCTTCGTTTCAATGATTTGCTGAAAAAAGAGACGAATCTTTTTTCGTTCCAGTTGCAAAAGGCGAGTGCCTGAGGAGTTTTGAAAATTAAAACGGCGCTAAGAAGCAACAATGGAAAAAAGGCAAAAAAAGAGCATGCAGCCACGCAACTGTTTGGTATCTTGAAAGGTAATTAGTGGGAAGAGTACCTCTTCTAGCCGTTTCAATACTTCCTCAGGTTTTGAATCACAATCCTTTGCTATTTTTCCGTGGAATTGCTCAAGGATTAGTTCATCATACATATGATCATTAGTGTCTGGAAATGGTGTATATTGATTTCAATAACCTTCTTACAGGGCCCATATTTTAGCCAAAAAATCCACTCACTGGGTAAGTATATCATCGAGGATAGAGCAGTAGTAGCAACACTGTAACCATCGCGTTTCTTCTCACGAGCATTACTCGCTAGCTTCTTTGCGCATTGTTTTACACGCTGAACATCAAATATGACACCAGTTGTGAAGATTTCTGCCCATTTGGCTAGATTTGGGAAACCGGTCTCCGCATCGACCTGAAAGAAACAAAATCATGACCTCCATCCTTCTCAAAAAAATATGGGGAACTACGAATGGATCAATAATTTGCACATGAAGATTGGAAAATCCAAACAGTAGGGCTACGGCATATGGCGCCAAACCTCTGAGCTCCCCTTCACCCACCTACTGTTCAGAACGATTCTATTTCCTGACTACACAACACTGCTCAAAGTTTTTGAATTGATTATTTCCACCTTCAAAACTAGTTCAAACTAAGGCCCTTGAAAACGAGGGCAAAACCTTACCACAATTTTGAGATGCAATAGCTTCTCGAAGTTGCCAGAAACACCTACATATATGGAATGATCGACCAAATCCTGGAACGAGTTCGCTCGTTAGTTCAAAGAACATATTTTCGGAAGGAATAGACTAACCCTTGTATAGAGTTTCGATACTTCTTCAGCACTTTTCACTTCACCGTTGATCTTAGCTGGAGATTCGAACAACAGCTCAGTGTAGAGATCCAACAAAGCGCGTTGATCAGCCGTTAGAATGGTCGTATCGAATAGTAGGGACAATTCGACAAACTTTGTTGGGCAGTTATGGACGGTTGTCGGAAACGGAAACTGATCCAAGAACTTAGTAATTGGCTGCGATGACGGCGAACCGCCTCGATTACTCTTCGAGTCCACTGGAAAACGATCGAATTGCTCCAACTTTTTTACAATCAGCTCGCTCAGCAACTCGGCAGTTGGCTTTTTTGCTGTGTTTTCCTTTATGGCCGCTTCAATTTTGTCTCCACACTGCTTGATTCCCTCCTGCCCAAGTTTCTTGCGCTGCTCGTCAAGACGAGTTTTTTCTTCCTTTGCTACCTGAAACAGGCGGAAAAGTTTATAAAGCTCTCAGATGAAAAAAGGACGAAAGGACCACTGAGGATCCAAATCGACAGTCAGCCTGCGTCTGAAGGGTGCTGAAAATCTCTCTTTGCAACATTGAGTGAAGCGGGACAATTGCAAAGGCCAGCAACTTTCAGAAGATGTAAAGAAGTGAGCGTAAAACAGAGATAAGCGTATATCGCTGTTGAGAGAGCCGCACTTGCCTATCACATTATGCGGACACATCATGAATGACATAAAACTGGATTGAAAAATCATAACAATGAACATTTTAACTCACTTGGTCAACCATCTTCTCGCTTGGAACTCCTACAACAACTACATGTGGCTTGGTAAAGTACTTTTTCACAAGAGCTGACCAAAATGAGGCAGGTTCTGATCGCAGACGACGTAGGAGCTCCAGCTGAAATAAGGAAAAGTTTTAGGTTTCTTTACAACTTCTCTCATGAATGAATCTGAAAAACTTCATCAAAACGTGGTTCAAATAATTTGAAATTATTTCCCAAATGATTTGGAGTAACACAGAAACAAAACAGTCAAAACAGAAAGAGTCATTTACAATTAATTCATTGATAGGAGAATAATAAAGTCTTCGATAGCAAATCCTATGGAGAAATAAACTCTGTACCTCGTCCATGCGAATTTTCAGTTGATCATCATTCTCGTCGTATAGCTGATGCCCAATCATATGCCCAAAGAGCTGGGTGGCAGGATTTTTTTCCATCTGTTGAAGTAGCAAGATACAATAACATTTTAGTGATGCCTAACTTTTTAAAACTGCTCCGTCACCTTTTTCAATTCATTCTTCACAGATTGCCCGATAAGGAAGCCCATTCGTTCCATATCCCAAGTTTTGTCTTCAAGATGTTCTTTGACTATCTTCTCCATAAACCTACAACACTTAATTTTAGGATAACTCAATTCAGGGTGATTTTCCATGCCTCAGAATTACGGTATCCTTCTAAGGCATGACACAACCACATCTATATAGTAACTTGTGAATTTGTCAACTTTTTTGGGAAATCAAAAAGACCAGCTAGACACTCATACAGAAACATCGCAAGTGGTTGGAACCTTGACAGAACCCTTTCTTATTAGCCCAAAACTCCAGCTACGAGCTAGCTCTTATCCGTCATTGAGGTAGAGTAAATCAACACTTAAAACACTTCCGAAGGAGTTGGGATTGCATAAATTAAAAGCTGAGATACAAGCAGCTTCGAAACCTCACAACTCGACTTCAGCCAACTCCCGCTTCGTTTTCCACAAATCGTGCGTCCCATGCGCCAGCAATGATTCGAAATATGTGGAGAAGTGAGTGCCATAGCTCAAAATTTGAAAAGAAAATCCAAAGAAAACCTACTTTTTACTGACATCATCCAATCGCTTTGTCGGAACACCGGAGAACGTCAATTGAATGAGGCATGTAGTCTGTAAATGAGGTACTTTGAGGTGCTATAAATTGAGAACCAACTTCTGAGAACCTGTTCAGCAACATGGAAAGACACTTGGCTCGCTAAAGGTTTTTCAATCAAAACGAATTCCTTCTGTAATGGAGACACAGGCGTGTTTGACAGGTAGTCGAACAATACATCGAAGGCCACCTTCTCTTTGAAATCAGTTGGGCTGTGACCAAACCTGAACAAAAGCGCCTCTTCAGTAATTTAACATCCATGACGGATTAGAGGAATACACCAAAGTTTCGGGGCATAGATAATGTGCCATTGTATATGTTTGCACTATTTAGCGAGCTTCACAACATATAAGAGTCAGGCGCGGGCTTGTTTACACTGTTGTTTCGGAAAAGTGCATATGAAAGATTGTAGCAATGATGAAATGATTCGTGAGTGGGACGAAAAGAACGTAGTGTTCAAGGGAGTGTTCTAGTTAGAAATGACAATTGAATTCTATTCTTGTCAGAACCACCGAAAACGTGAAATGAAATCGCAAATAAAGACTAAGAGAATAAGAAAACGCCGAAATAAAAAGAAAGAGTCAGTCGAAATCGACTACGGCGTACGAAACTGAAAAAAAAAAAACGTCTCACCAACTGATTTCCACAGAACCCCGAGACTCATCGTCACTTGGGCATACAACACGGTGTTCGCTTGATTCTGCCATCGGCTTTACTTGGAGAGAAATGAATGGCCGTTGGAATGATGCCGGCACATCACCCAAGTGTTCCTTAAAGAGAAGGTTTACAAGGAAACAATTTTAGCTGCCAAAAGCTTTACTGATGTACCTCCTCGGTCGCCTCGATTATCTTCAACAATCGTTCATGATCAACCCGACCCGACACCGTCACCATCATATTTGACAAATGGTAATATTTTTTATGAAAATTGCGAACCTACAAACATATCTGTACTCACATCAAACATATTTTGGCGGAAAGGACTGACAATAATATTACTTTTTCCAAATTACAAGTCGTCCTGAGGCTCGGTAACCGTCCACCCGTGTCGACACGATATGAGTTGTTTGGCGGATATAAAATCTCTTTCTTTTTCCTCAAAACAAGGCTCTCTTAAAACAAGCCATTCGCCGGTCAGTTAACTCACCGATCCATTATGCACGACATTTCAGATTCATGATCTTGCATTTCACTGTAGACAACACCTGCATCTTCACCTTTCCCATTGATGTGGTGTACTTCGGTAGCAAATTGGGATGCCTGATTGAAAAAAAAGAAGTTCTAAGTGAAAATGAATCATTGTGGATTTGTTTTCTATTGCTGCAGATTTTCTTAGAGATTGTCATCACCGGCAAACAACTAAATAAAAACGAGAAATTTTGTAAAAATGACATGGAGAGGCTGGACAGCAGCTAGAATTACGCGATGGCCTCGTAGCCCCTCATGTTTTGTATGTGATTAACTTGGTTCTAACTTTCTTTCGGTAACAAACAGGGATTTGAAAAAAAATTTTAGACTGGCTGATCAGAGAATGTGTCGCAACCACTTGCGGTGATTTATATGATCCCCTTCATCTATAACCGAGCACATGTACAAACAATGCATACTTACTGACAGCATAGGTGAAAGCAGGTGGTTAAGGTAAACCGGCAATACTTTGAAAAACCCATCGCTGCCAACCTAAAATTCTATTCCAGTAAGATAAGAATCTAATATGAATGACTGAGTTTCTGTACTACTCTTTAAGTTCTGAGAAACTTACCGTACTTAAAGTATATGCTGTGTGATCTTGGTCGGTCCATGCGTTTGTGCCGCTGGCCAGGCAACGGTTGGCAATAATATCTAGTACGCCTTTATAAGGATATTTCTTGCTGCCCATGAACACCAAGTGCTCCAGCGTATGAGGCAAGCCATCGTCACAATCCGTTTCGGTAACTAAATTCTAGATGTGCCCATGATAAATCATGTAGTCATTGCGGAATATCTTCGAAGTATTTTCACAGAATTTCGAAGAAAAGCTACGGCCTAGATTGGGCACTCCGCCCCACCCCGTTACCTCCAGACTTGGCCCCTTCTGATAACCACTGTCCCACCCCCCACAGTTCCTTGGCTAAAAAACTCTATCCAATTTCGACGCGAAGACGTCAACAGCGCGATTGCGCAATTCTTCAACTCTCATCGTCTTCAGGTTTGGGAGGTGGGGATCGCTGACGTGCACACTGTGATGAGTTATGTAGTTGAATACATTTGTGATTCATACGCAAGCCATAAAAGGGGAAAAATGAAAAGTAAATGTATGAATAATTGTGACGGAAATTCTCCCCATCCTGATATTGAACGCATAGGCCAAAGTGGAAAAAACATACAAAAAAGGAAAAAAAGAGGTTTTCATGAAAATGCCCCTCGAACAAAGTCAGTAGAAATACAACTCACCGAAAGAAATACAACCCTTCACTAAGGGACCGGGTACATCTCCGATCGCTACAACTAATCGGCTACGAGTCGAACGGTACAGAGAAACGGCGATTGTGCCGTTCATCAGTACCTCTGATTTCCTCCAAAATCGAGACATCATCTGGAAATATGAAGACTTTTGCGCGAGTGCATCTTCTCGTGAAAAGATCCCCTCTGGAACGAATAATAATCGATTTTCCGATTGTTCAAACAGGGCTTGCAGAGAATCTACTCCGAATGCAACCACAGTTATAAGTGATTCCTCTTGCTACGACGACATCACAGTTCACCGAAGAAGGTCCCTCAAAGGGCTCACTCTGGTGTTACCAACTTTTCTTATAAGTAGATTATCGAAAATACTCCCTGCAAAGACGTTTTTACCACAGCTCTTCAAGATAATCATCCTGGAAAAAGGCAACCCAATCCGCAAGCTCTAAGAGGCTAACCATGGGTCAGCAGACGTCAACGCTCCATAACAAGGAGGTCCCTCCACTCAGTGGGCAAGGCTCAACTACCAAGTCTGGCATTGCTATAAAATGATTAGTGACATTTCCACTTCGACGGATCGCTCCTCCCTTTTCCTTACAACTCATTCTCTCTTCGATATTGCCAGTTTTTTTATGCAGAGCCATTCAAGGTTGACTTTCGCGAGGGGCCAAACACTCATGAGGCTTCCTCGATGACCGTGTCATGGAACTTCGTTCGGGACTACCATCTCATATCGCTCTCGAAATCGTATGAGGAACATTTTTGTCGAGCACTGATGAGCAAAAACTATGACTGTGCACCATAAACAAGCCAAACAAAAAAAACTACAACTTGACACCGTAAACAACATCACAAAGGAATTGAAATCAAAATTGTAGAATAACAATAAAAGAGTCATTGTCCGAACTATTGACTGGGCCCACAATCTACTGCATGTGAGAAAAGGCAATAGAGGTTATTATGCCTTCAAACTTCACATTGAAAAGAATGAGTTCTTTCCGAAGAAAAAAGTAGATACTTTGAGCCAAAACCAGTTACCATCAAAACCAATTGAACACAAAAATTACGAGATTCTTTATCGTTATTAAGGTACAGCGTACACAACTGAAACGTCAATAAATAATTATCACAACGTATCTATTCGTAGAAATATTCAATCTGTATCTGTGATATTGATGAAAGCGTATCGTGCAATCACAAATGTGACTAATATAAAATATCCCGCATTCAATAACTAACAGTAAACAAAAAACAAGAGATACTGTTCAACTAAACTCATTCGCAAAAAAAAACGCGATTTTTTACACAAGTGTGTTAACGTACAGAATAGATAAGCGCTAAAAATGTATAAAAGCAACTTCTATAAATATGAAAGGACTGAAAGGAAAAGAAAAGAATGTGACTCATCCTAGAAGATTGGCAAACAATAAGGAGTATTCGAATAAAGAGAGAGAGAGACCAATGCATACGATTGCGGCAATGAATCATAGAAGTCATATCACATCTAAAGTATTGCTTTGGATGACTTCGCGAAGAATGGGAATTGATTGAATGACAATCGATCCCAAAAAAAGGAAATGTCTCGCCATTTTATGCTACATTAAATAGGCTCAATGCTCTGAAGCTACTTCGCTTTCCATTTTGAAGAAACAACATTGGTAAAATGGGTGATAAAAGACGAAAGGATCAGGGGTCAAGGCGTGGTAAAGGATTACCAGTCAAAAAGGTAATGAAGAGAAAATGAAGGATTAACGAGATCGCGAAGTCGCACAAACAGATATCCGGCATTATTTCGTTCGCTTAGAAAGACTTAACCAGCTGGCCCACTTTTGCGTAAGCCTCCTTATCTGAGTGTGATTTCATGAATACCAGCTGTAACGTATCCCGATCGCGACGATCAAATGCCATTTTTGCGGCAGCAACGAAATTGCTGAATAGTAACAAATAATCTTCTTCACGACTTTTTCACTGATTACAAGAAAAGAAATGAAAAAAATGAAAACGAAAAAAAAGAAAAGTGAAATCAAATTCACCCCATAGCCATATTAGCTGCCACAAGTTCCTGATACCCGTGAACTTTGGCGAAATATTTTTTACTCTCCTCTCGTCGGTTATACTTCATACACGCTTTAATGAAGGGCTGGAATTGAAAATGACATGGCAAAATGACACAAAAATGATGACATTAGACCACCTTTCAAATAATTTAACATTCGTGATTTATTATGTTTAGCTTTCGAATATTACAACCATCTTGATTGAAAATAATCACATTTTTTTCCAGCACTCACCACATATCCGACCGGTGACTTTTTCTGCGCCATGTCGAAGAGTTGTTCCATTTTACCCATTTTTGCCAAACCCTCGATAGTCCAAAGCCAAACTCTTAAACAGTACCGTTATGATATTGCACCCGGCACTATACATCCAAAGCCTCAAACCAACACCCTTACTTTATAGTTAAAAAATCGTAATTGAAAAAAACGAAAAAAAATGGAAACGGAAAGGAAACCAGCCAAAATTCTCATAGAAAACTATACTTCGGTTTCCATGAAGGTAGTTCCTCATTCCAAATTCTACTTTTGGAAACAATCAGAGTGAAGTTCGAATGAAAATTTTTGAAGAGTTCACTCTACTCACTGCTTATCAGTCAGTTTAGCTTGATGCTTGAATTGAGCGACTTTCTGAGGATCAGCTGCGAATTCAATGACTGTATCACGAATGGTCATTTGATCTTGCCCACGTTCTGACTGACCAGGAGCGAATGCTGCCTAAATCTTGTGGAGATGAACATGAGGGGTGAAATCCAGACAAAAATCCTTAGACTTACCATATCACTTAACAGTTCCTCCACTCCTTTATCACCCATGTTACGGGCCGATTCCTTTGCCCTTCTCAGGCAATTCAACCTCTCAGCTGGCTGAAACACGTCAAACTTCATCCCCTTCACCAACCAGTAGAAAAGAGCAATGTAGCCTTTTTGGTCTAAACGTAAGATCGCAAAAATATATTTATACCTACGTTAAGCTCGTTTTCCATTGCGTCAAGATGAAACATCGTCTGTCGTTCAAAGTCGCTAGCCTGCTCCAGTAGTGCGAGGATCATTTTTCCAGATCCACGATCACTTTCTTCACGTATTAGGTCTTGATACAAGCATTGTGCCTGAATACGTATCGAATAAATCTGTAACCTGACCATTCGAACTAAGAAAACGATGTTCACCCCTTCGGAAGCCAATTTTTTGTAGGAAATAACATCAGTTTCTACTCCAACTCAATAAAATTGAGGAAGTATAGTACTGACAACTGCTGAAAGCTGAACCAATCCCAATTAGTATCGGTAGCAATATTCATTTGAAACGTGCCCACTTCCAACACTGCCTATGCCTGATCCATTTGATTCGACGTGCAGTAACGTTAAACCTACATATTCCCCTTCCTATTTGCCGATAAAATGAAAACTAACAAGAGGAATTTTACGGATTGCCAGTTCGTATTCGGCACGCTTCTGTCCTTTCATCAGATGTCGCACGACCTGATGCATCAGCTGTGGGCGCTGAGCGGCCGCAGCTCGAGTTAAAGCCTCTTGAATGTCGCCCAGCTGCAGAAGCACTTGTACCTGGAATGTCTTAGTGATGACCCTGAACTCTTCAAATGAAAACTAGTAGTTGAAATCGTTACAAACCTGTTTTGAATCATCCTTCTCTCTTTTGATGAGTAGCCGCGCCAGCTTGGGCAGTTTCGCATCGATGGCGCGTTTTGCAGCATCTACAATGAGAAAGATCTATAAGAAAACAATGTAACTTAGCGAGAATTACAACTTACCCGCTAGGGAAACATGAGGGTAACTCATAAGTTTATTGGCAATTTTCTCATCTAGCGCTTGCATGTTCAACTCGGATGTATTTACAGTCGATGCCGCTTTATTAATTGTTCGTCGTACCTTGAAAGATAAGGCTATCACATTTACGAGAAATTCAAAACAAACAATTTTTCTAGTCCCATCCAAAATACAGAAGGGCAGTAAAAAACTTACCCATTCTAGCAAAACACGGTCAATTCCTTCCTGCTGGTCTCTCTTAAGCCATGAGCATATTTCTGCCGCCAATCCGTAGGCACCGATATCGATCAGGCGATTGATGAGACAAGACTCTCCTAACTCTTGAAATCTGAAGACGTGAATCTTAATTGAAAAGACAGAAATATTTACAAAATCTATATAAGCCAAGAAATAAAAAATGATTATCATCAAAATTTAATATAAATTCAACACGGGGAGCAGCACTGGACATTTTGCCTCTCAGAAGTGTACAGAAAATATTCCAGCTTCTACGCACCCTGCATAACAAGACTGAAAAGACTGAATGACTGGGAGAACATGTCGGTAGTGAAACCTGAACTGGTTTCACTACCGACATGTTCTCCCAGTCATTCAGTCTTTTTCAGTCTTGTTATGCAGGGTGCGTTATGTTTAGACATGTTCTCCCACTCATTCAGTCAGGTAAGTTTTGAGAACGTAATGATCACATGTTTTCAATATAAATTTTCAGGTCTGAAGCGGCGTGTTGAATATAATAGTGGAAGTAAGTTTCGTAAGGTAGGGACACCAAGAACAGCCTATCAAAACTTTAACGAGAATTCGCAAAGCTATCTAAAAACTTTGCGATTGCACGTCTAGTCCGACGAACATCGCAGCAAGAGATTGAGGTGAGAGATTCGATATGCACAAAGTCAGAAAATAATAATAGTGAAGAAAAATACAAGGGTTGATATAAATGTTTAGGAGAAACTTACTGAGAATACGTGATAGGCATGCCTATCCGCCTCCGATGAACTTCATTGAGTACTCGAAGTTCCCGGAGAATGCGAGCAAATCGGTTGGAGTCATAACCATTAGAGAATGCCATACCGAAATGGGCAGCCTAAATGGAAAAGAATAACGAATAGGGTTGCGTAGTCCACCTCAATTAATTAAAAAAANAAAAAAACCTTTAATAAAGCCTTCTGTAATTCTGAAGACCAAACAGAGGAAGCCGTCGAAATACACTGCTCAATGGCTAGCGAAAGATCGCGAATCTGAAAACCAAAAACTTGAAGAAGGAAGAAAAACCAGAAACCTATTGGGCAGGACAGAGAATATCCGCACGATAAGTGTCTAACCTGCATGGCATATTCATACGACTGATGGCTTTTATTGGTATTCAGCCACTGCGCTGCTTCGTATAGTAGCGCACCGTCGGAAGCCGAAGCCACTCCCAACACCGCACGCTCATCACCTGTAAGTCCGATATAGAGATTCAGACAATAGCCAACAAAACTGACCTCCATTTTTATGCCTTCTAAAGTCCTCATAAAAAAGCCTAGAATGACGACACTATATATGCCTTACTAAATCGGATTCTTAAAAGTAATCACATCGCTATGAGAATGGATTACACAAATCGGCAATGGGCAAAAAAATAATTGGATTGCACCCATGCCACTGGGCTAATCAGGCAATGCTACTGAGAAAGCTGAGTTTGTAAAGCATTCAGAACAGCCGACCGATCTTGAGAAGTAACATTTTATTAGACGAGATAAACATACGTGATACTGGACTAACAAACTCCATTCCTGTCTCCGTATAAAGCTTTATACCATCGGACTCGACACTAATCTCCGTAAACTTCATTTGCAAGCTAAATTATGTAGCATATTACGGTGAACAAGGAGAATCTGAAGGACAAGCACAACGTACTCCGACCCCTTAGCTTAACGAATATTACCCACTCGTAGTGAGCGTTCTCGTCATGAACGCTGAAGAATTGCACAAAAAGCGGAGTCCGCTGAAGGAACAGCGCATCTTGTCCAACCCAACCAAAGCGGAAAATGGACTCATCACCGGGCACGTTCACTCGGGATATTTGCCGTGATAAATCTGATGACACAACCTTAAACATCGTTGATCTCCTGCAGAAAACGTATACATGACAAAGTATGGAAGCACAGAATTAGACCTGGATAGTTTTGGAGGAGTGGTATAGAGCAATCATGGAATGATCCGCACTTACTGCCATGCGTGCATATTGCCCATCAGATTCAGAAAATGGTGTTTCCTAAAGCAAATGTTCACGGCCAGCTTAAACAGTACCAATACCTTAACAAGGGAATTACCACTAATCTGCTCACCACTACATTCAGTTGTTCACCTTGACATCCTGTATAAAATGTTGTTCCTACAGCCACAATCACTTGGGTAAGCTGAGATCGCGGCTGCAATACAGTCCAAGCACTGGGGTAGTTCCTACCAGCTGCAACATGGATTCACCGTGTAGTTGTCTCTTGAGTGCACTAATTGAAAAAATAAAAGACAAAAGCGGTTCTAGATTAGCTTCAATGCCAAAATCGTGGCACCTAAATACTATTACATTTATACTTTCAGGTTTTAGGAGGTTGTGGGTGCCTTTATGGTTTCACATTCGTTCCATCTAACCTTTCGTAAGCTGGCCGCCACCAAAGGCTCGAATGCGCCTGCAACTTTTTAGAATATTGTCTATCACCTTGAAGCAAATACTTACAATTTTGCATACTCCAAACGATTGGCTCGTTAACAGAGTTTACCACGAATATTCTCGCTTGGTCGTCCAATATTGCCACTCCAGAATCACGTGCTGTAGGGAACACCCGCACTTCACGCACTTCCCTTACTCCCTGAAAGCATTTTTGCAGCTGTGAATTACAGCACGTGCACTTTTACTTCTTTTTTATAGAAAAGTTTAATCGAAAACCACTAACATTTCCAAAATGGAACTCAGAAACGCGATCTCCTAAGGCAGAAAACAACGTTGCGTTCCCACGACGATCTATGACAACAAGCCGGTGTCCTGAAAAATGATTAGAGTAGCTTAGTCATCTAGGTATCTGAAGAAGGTTTGGAGATCTCATGTTCGATTATCTTCAAAATTAGGGATCTTAAACAGTGCTATAACTGCTATGTTGTACAGCTTTGCTATAAAGGAACCTGAACTACAGGTTGCTTCGAGTAATAGTCCTCATGAGAACTTCTAAGTATTCCGGAGCTTCTGATCTGTCTTGGGCAACTAAGCTACAGACCAGTAGCTTTAGACTACTTCGAAAACCCTGAAGAAGAGAATGTGTCTGCACTACAGCAAACCTCTGCGGTATACAGAAATACAGGGAACGATTTCTTGTCATGTGATCCACACTACTACGAGCTACTGGAGAAGTGGCCCCTTGTGGCCACTATAGCCGCGTCGCCAAAACTGATCTGCGTTTGCAGGACAAAGACAAGACTAAACAAAACCTTCCACTTCAACGGGTGAAGAAAAAGCGATCTCCCTGGTCATTATTTACACATCTACATTGCTTAGACACTTAGACATAGCAAATGTGTCTGTATAGGCTGTATAGGGGGATATGGTGATGCAATGGTGCAGCTTACAATCTCAGATGAAAGTGCCCTTTGTGGTAATGAGTGAATCAAACCGAACTGTGGAAAACTGTGGAAAAAAGATTACCCTAGAGCTAGTGAACCAACGACTACGTTAATAGCGAGCGATTCGCCTTTATAAGCGCTAGACGACATACCTTTCGTCCACTCCATCGTAAATACATCTGGTACTTCAAGTTTATGTTTTAGGTACACACCGCCACTCATGACAATATCGATGAACCAGGACGTTTCAGTATTGGAGAACGCCAAGGCTGGAAAAGGAAAGATGAGTTGCTCTTTCTTCGCTCAAAGTTTACAAAGGCATACCAAGAGGCCCCGAAAATGTGCAAGCGGCAAAATGAATGGCATGTTTCAGTCTGATCGTGGGCAAGTCGGTGTAATTTTTCACAAATCTGAAAAAAATATTTAAAGATATTCAATATGAAGGAACATTTGCTGATTCAGTGTTGCAGCAAGGTTATGCTAGAAGACTTCCAGCGATGCCCCTATAACTGCGGAATTCACTAAACTTATGCAGAAGCTCTCGTAGGCACCGCCCAGTGATTTCACAACATGAGAATAAAGCCCAAAACATAGCGAATCTCACTTGATTTTCACATCACCGACGTTGATCCAGTTAGACAGAGCATCTCCGCCGTTGTTTCTTCGATTTTCCATACCAATAGTAATGAAAGTCTTGCAGGTCGTCTACTGAAGTCAGCGTCGGACGTAAGATGAGGATTTCTGTAAACCTTGAACTACACAACTTTAGTATGCCAACAATGCTGCACGAATGAATGAACAATTCTTGAAACCGACCAAAATGCTATAACTCAAAAGATATGAAAAAGAAGAATAATGTCTTCTTACCGAAGAGTTTCGAAGAAGATAAAAAGATTTGCATGTTATTTTAACGTGCCAATATTTGGATTTCAAATAAGTGAATATTGGCTGAAACCCTATCAAATGTACTTGAAAAACATTGCCCAAATGTTTATTAACATATACTGACCAATGACTTGATGGTAATTAAGGTGTTGAAAAATTATCACCTGAGGTTAACTTATCTCAGAAATAAAAACACTTGAAGCAATAAGATTGAAGTCAAACATCTCATAATTAGTATGGTTATTAGAAGTAACAATGCAAACGCTCATTCAGAAAGAGATCGGGAACACCGACAAGACCATGCAAATAATGTACGAAGCGAATTGGGTTCCAAACAAAATGGGTCAAACAGAAGAGAGCATCAAAGCAGTCAGCCTACCAATCATCACCAGTATCTTTGGTCTTTGCAGCACCACGTATGATTTTTATCTTTTGTGGTTCAGCCTTCATCTTCTCAACTTTTATTACACCAGACCGTGCTATGCGGTTCTCCAGCACCTAAAAGTTCAGCAGATCTTTTTGCATTCTGAATCAAACTCTCAAAGGGACATACTTCTGTTTTGAAATCATCAATGCCACCTAAGTCGTCGAAACCTCTGATATAATCAATAGTTTGTTGGTCCTTCACAATAGCAATCGTGGGAATCACACGAATATTGAGACGTGTAACGAGGAAAGGCACCTAAAATCATAAAAGTCAAACAAACTAAATGACACCACATTTGCCACATAGAAATCTCACCTTTTCTGCATTAACGTGAATGAAACGAGTTCCAGTGTGTTTGACTGCGAGAATTTTCAAGTGTTTGTCCACTATTTTACATCTGGAAATAAGATCATTCGAGTTAGCATCGTATGAAGGGTGAAGGCTGGTAATATCATGAAAATGAGAATGATACTTATGTAGAATTTGTCTTTGTTTTTAATTCGATGCCTCGATATCGACTACATTTGCTTATAAAATGGTAATGTGTCATCGCTTTTCACATCATGGAGCGCATAAAAACTGCAACGAATAAGATCGAATAGCATCCTAAACTCACAAGGTGCATGGAGTGGTATGGTGAAAATAGAAACTGAGAAGATCATGGGAAATCATGACAGAGCTTCGTAGAAAAGACGCTACAAAGTTAGGCTCAAAAAAAGAAAGAGGTGTACGTTTCCTTGAATGTTACTTCTCTGCCTTTTGGATAAAGCACATGCCATAGAATTACGGACAGCAGGCTGGGATTAGGAGGTTCTCTGAAGGAGGGAAACTGGGTAGACCTGATGTGGAAAAAGTTCTAGTACAGAGGTAGCTGTTTCAAAGCCTCAAGTTACGCACTCTCTTATGTGATGGAACTACAACCTGCTGTGATGGAACTACAATCTGGAGCTTACACAGGGTAGAGTAACGCGACTTAATATTTACTTGCAAGGACTAGCTTTGGCATTTCCTCTTGTCGGAAAAGTACCTTAATGGCTCTGTTAGTAGAAAGTGTAGCGAACTGAAAACTTTGCATACCGGTTGGATATCTAAATCAGTGTCTGCAGCGCTATGAAGCATTCTGCGGCAAGACCGCTTTGTAACAGATAGAATCCTAGTTTCCTCTTCAATGAGGCTCGCTCAAATCTTGGCGCATTGACGAAAATACCTCATATTTCCATCGAGGTAGAACAGGCACACGACATTTTTGCTCTTCTTTGTTGCTTCAAAGAATTCTTTTTCATCAGCCACTTCACTATAAGTTCCGTGACCAATAGATAACATTTCCTAAAAGCGAATTGTGAGTATGAGCAGCCGTTCACTGCAATTCAGCGTTAGGCTAACAGCTAAAACTATCGACGGAATTGAGAACCTGTTTTGCCTTTTGCATCTTCTTCATTTCTTCTAATCGACGCCGCCGGATTATCTCGAGTTCATCTTCATCCATGTTTTCTAACCTTCAATGGAAGTGTTAATCGTCTTTAATTAGAGCTATTCAAGGGATATTCTCAATGTGGAACATTCTTTATCTTTCTNTATCTTTATTCGGTACGTTATTTAAGACAACGTTTGAAATGTAACAATCAACACAACACAAACAAACAAGACAACACTGAGCGAGAGAACAAGTGAAGGTGGCAACTATGCTTGAAGGATGTGCGCTGCTATAGAACGTTTGAATGAAGCCAAAGAACGTTTGAATGAGCCAACATTGCTAGAATACCCATCAGTACCTGTTCATTTCATTGTCAATATGTTCTTCCACAATTTCTGCAGCCTTCATCAATTGCGCGCTCAGCTGTTCGACTACTTTTGACCCTGCCATTTCTGGAAGAAAAAAAAATCCAGAAAGCATTGCCACATAGGAAAATTCACACAATCGTAGAGTCTTCAAAGGATCCAAGGTGAATAACAATAACTGCTCCACTCATTCGTGAGCCACTACACAAGAGTCAAACCCAAAATAATGACAACGCCTCTCAGCCTAACAAACGCAACCTTCGGGAAATTCCGTAGCCTCGAGGACAAAAACTGCCGTAATTGCAGATGTGTTGTCTATGTGCTCACACTAAACACCATACTTGGCGTTTTGACTTGCGAAAATGAATGCATTGCTAGAATTTGCTTTTTTTCTGTAAATGGGTGTGCATTCGAACATTTGTCAGCATTATCAAGTAGTTTTGCGCTGACGTGGTGAAGGCAGTTAATGCCCTTCTATTCTTGTTCTGTGTCTTCCCCATAATAGCTGTCGATGATTTAATCCAATTCGCTCCACTTCTTTATTCCAACCGCGGTGATGGTTTTTTTTGTGAAAACGAAGATGTATGGAATGGAATGGAATGGTCGTGGCTTCGGGACGGTCTCACCTTGCTGTCGTGGGAATTTCAGCAGATTCTTTCTGCCGAACGGATGGGAGTTCCTCCTTACTTCATCGGTCTTGTCCCCGACCTTGGAGTTTTATTGTAGAGACGAAGTACTTCGTACCGGTTAGTGGATGCTGCGCTTTAGAGATTCGCGTCCCCACTCACATTCGGCGTTGAAGCGCTCGAGGATTTAATTGATTCCATTTATTAGCAATGAAAACCGGACATCTTCCTCAGAGATCGAGACAGCCCAATGTCTAGTTGTTTCATGGCTAGATATCGCTACATTAGCTTCGCTTTCATGTGCTGAGCTTTGAATTGCCCAAAAAACTTGTGTCTGCCCAACTTCATCTGTTTGTGTGAGAAAGATGCTGTTAATCACTCATCACATCTACTTAATTGGTCCCATTATGCGTTCACTCCAATCCTCATTCCTTTTCAGCCTCATCCTCGTTTCTGAGGGTGCATGATCAGTGAGGCTCGCTGGGTAGACAACGCAACTGCCTCGCTCATCTCATCGGACGTCACCTACTACGCTCTTCTGATTCCTTGCCTCATACCGGTACTAATCACGTTCCATTTCTTTATTTGGCTAGGTTCGTCATTTTCATTCCTTAGAATTTAAGATTACACCCTTTCCGAAGAAAAAAGTCGGGCCTTTATGTGCTGTTGATTGAGCACGCATCAGATCCATCTGCCTAATTCCTTTTCTTATTTTTCTTATTTTTTAAATTATGGGAAAGACGTGGTGCTACCTAAGATCTCTTTTTTGTTGGTTCCGCGCTGTTCATAAGATGCTAATCAATTCGAATTTTTTAACCTCTTATGGGATTTGTGCTTTGTCGGAAGGCGGGAACAACTTTTTCACTTGTTCAGAGAGCGCGTGGATATAAATCTTCCTCTTTCGTTTCCTTAAGATCTTGTTCCGCTTAGTTGCCGGTCGACCGTAATCGGTTGCGGGTTCTCCCTTTATCTGGTTCAAAAGGTTTGAGCGTATCCATTCATAATATACAATTCAAATGAGTTTGTGCAATCTTTAATCGTACTAATATTCATCTTACAGGTCATGTAAGCCCCTTTCAAAAATTGTAGGTACACTGAGAAGTCTCTAATATGAGGTGTTGAGTGCCCCTCATGGGGTTTAGGGCGATTCACGCCGCAATTTCATGTCATAACCTTCGGTCATAGAATCTTAGTTTGCATTTTCTCATTTTCAGGACACGAATTTTTTGTAAACAATTGACATGGCCAATGTAGAAGCAATACCTGCCTACCTCGCTGCAACCTTTCCCACACTGCCTTCTGAAATAAAGGACTATGTTTCCTGTAAGTTATGCATTTTCGGGAGATTGTACCTTTGTTGTTTTGTTCTCGTTGAATTACCCTTACTTTAGCAATTCTCAAAGAAAACGTCGATGAGCTCCTGACTCTTGAAGATGTTGTTGAAGCAGTAGGAGACCATATCCAAGTATGTAGCTATGACATCTATTTCATTTTATGTTCGAACAGAGCTTAAATTGTACCGATCCTTCCATATCTCTTTCTAGAGCTACGTCCAAGAGCTGTGTAACGATGGATTGAATCGAACATGCCAACAACTTCTACAATTTCTTCACGGCGAGTCAGTGTTTGATCACTTTCACGGAGTTACTAGCTTTGATTTGTTGACTTTACAAAAGCTTCAATGCACAAGTCGATTTTTTTTGTATCTAACTTGTTTTTAATCCTTTACACCAATTCAGAAATCTTCCCAAAGTCGAAAAACATGGAGCGACCACGAAAAAGTTGGACCAGGCTGTGGATATGGCTGCAGAAAATCACAGCTTTGCTGAGATGGAGAGTATATGGAAGGTGCAAGCAAGAGACGTGCCGACGGTAAGTACCCTAACTTCGAGACCTTATAATGTAAGGGTTTTCGAAGCTTATATGAAGTAGCACTCACTCCCTTTGGCTAAACTTTCAACTGGTTTCAGTCAGTGGACAAGAAAAAGTTGGGAAAAGCTGAAAACCGTGCGGCACAGAAGATCGAGCAGCGCGATGCTGAGCCTATTGTACGAAAAAAGAGACCCGAAAGTACAGCAACTGCCTCTCAGGTATCTGCATTTTTTCTATCCTCCTTGCAGATAGAGTACGTAATTTGCATTAGTAGCCTTTTGATGACAAACCGACCGGCCGTAGAACTATCATGATATCTTGATACGTATTTTTGGACATGATCTCAAATTCTCCAGAGCCCGGACTGGTCACCTTTTCAGTGACTCTGGCCATTTCCAGGCACCAGTAAAGGATCTTGGTGCTCGCGGCTCTAACGTGAAAGACGTGAAATTGGAAAGCGTCGATATATCAATAGGCACAAAGTGAGTGCCTTTTCATGTAACAAATGTAGGCCCGACTCGAAAATGAAAACACTTACAGAAATTTCGTGGCTAATGCGTTATTTTATTCATGAACATAAATTTAAGGCAGCTGCTATCGTGTGCTGATTTGACTATGGCATATGGACGTCGATATGGCCTTGTTGGTCGCAACGGTATAGGAAAGACAACTCTTTTAACAATGATATCGAGGTTATTTTTAGCAGATTATTGGCAATACTGGTTTAGATGAACATCTTTTTTCCAGTGGGCAGTTGCGAATACCATCAGGAATCAGTCTGCTGGCTGTAGAGCAAGAAGTTGATGGTGACGATACTAGAGTGATAGATGCCGTGCTGGCATCCGACACTAGGCGGCAAGCCATGATCGATAAAGAACATGTCTTGCAAGCGAGGCTGAACAAGTAATTTTGATTTGATATCTTTAGCTTCGTTCGAAGGCTCGCTTTCCAACATTTTGTGATTTGTGTTTCCAGAGAGAACATATCAGAGAATGAGAAGAATAAGTGGCACGACGAGTTAGCAAAGTTGTACCACGAAATGGAAAGCCTACAGCTAGACAAGGTAAAAATATTGTTCGGATTGAGTGACGAAGGAGAAGGTTTAGTGTTATGAAGCATACCTGGTGTTCTTCTCAGTTTTTGTTTCCCAGTCCTATCGCTCTGATGCGACTCTGAAGTTGATTTTTCCTATTCTCTATGTCGTCTGGTGCTTTTGAAACGTTCTACTTCATTTTGCTACTCAGTGAATGTGTTTTTTGTAGGCGCCGGCTCGAGCAGCTTCAATTCTTTACGGTCTAGGATTTACACCAGATGAGCAGAAGAAACCTACAAAGTTAGTTCTTCAAGCTTTTTCAGCTGCTGCTCTTTCATTTGGGAACTTATCAAGTACAATGTTTGAAATCACTGTAGTGTTTGTACTCATATAATGCAATATAATATCAATCCCATGTGTTCAGAGAGTTTTCTGGTGGTTGGAGAATGCGTGTTGCCCTTGCTCGCGCTCTGTTTGTCAAACCTGATCTACTGCTTCTCGATGAGCCTACTAACATGTTAGACATGAGAGCAGTTTATTGGTTGGAAGGCCACTTGCAGGTAAATTTACTCGAAGGCATTCATCGAACGTTCTCAGTAGATAGCCCTAGGAATTTTTCAGCAATGGGAGGGCACTATTCTGACAGTTTCCCACGACCGAAAATTTCTTAATGAAATTTGTACGGATATTGTTCATCTGCACACAAGAAGACTCGATCACTACAGAGGAAATTATGACACTTTTGAAAAGGTATCTTTTTTGTATCGTTTTCTGTTTTTGGGATGTTTGCATCGAACAAATCTCAAAGTCTACCGTGATGGATTTGAATAATTCTGTCGCGCTAATGTTTTTCGGTGTGTCTTCTTCAATATCCCACTATGCCGCCAGATCATCCGCTGCGAGCACTAGATCCCAAGAAGGCTTTGCAAACATACCAGGCTATCACATGAGTTTGTAGCTGTCCGATTAGTTGCTGGAAGCATATCTATTCGCCTGACAGATTCGCTGAATAGACTTCGGATCACGGGAGCAAAGGCATCACGTCGAGTCGACCAATGCAAATGACAGCCTTGAATTTCATTAGAGTATTATTTATTTGCAGACTATGAAAGAGAAGCTTACACAGCAACAGCGGGAGTATGAAGCGCAACAAACGCTGCGGCAGCATACGCAGGAATTCATAGACAAATTTCGTTACAACGCAAAACGGGCGGCAATGGTACAAAGTAGGATAAAAATGCTCGAAAAACTGTAGGTTTTAACGAACTATAATTCGATCTGTTTTTAAGTTATATTCGTTGAAGAATGAACGATGTCTCCATGCATGTACCTACTGACGTTGCTCTCAGTTTCTTGAGTCGTTCGTCTTTCATCAGCGTGTTTAGGCCTGTACTTCACGCAGTGGAACTGGATGCAGATATCATATTCAAATTTCCTCAGTGTGAAGTGCTTAATAACCCTGTGTTACAACTGGATGACGTTTCGTTCAGGTGAATCTTTGTGATTAGCCTTTTTCGCTGCTTTAAAAGTGCGTATTTCGATAGTCATGCATTTTCCAATAAGAAAAAAACATGAAAAGCGAAAGCTTTTGTTTACGCTTCATAAAAACTGTTCTGCCATGTTCAACGTTAATATTTTGTTGTTGAGGGAAATATTGAATCAATGAGAGGCGAATGTCAATTATTTTATTCATATGTTCTTGTATATTGAGAATAGAAATTTGTTATTGTAAATTTCGCCAGAGTTCTTTATAATAGAATCATCAAAACTTTAGTTAACGGTGAAATGTTCAGGTATAATAATGACGCACCATTCTTATTCCGAAAGCTGAACCTTGGAACTCATGCCAATTCGCGTATCTGTATCGTGAGTTTCCAATACTATTCATGTTCATGTTCATGAACGATTCAGTTATTCGGTCGTTATGTTTCCTAGTCGATCTTTTACGTTCGAGAGCAACCAATTACTTGCAATGTGTTCAGGTTGGTGAAAACGGCTCAGGAAAAACAACACTTTTAAAACTTCTTCTCGGTGAACTTGAGCCAACGGTACGATTGATTAATGATTCTGCTTGACTAACTTTGCTGTTAGGATTTTTTTCCTTTGATTACATCTTGAGCATATTCACTGCTTTCACAGCAAAGCATCCTAAATATTGATGCAAAATGAGAACAGTACTATTGTATCCTTATTCAAACTTGCTTTTGCACTATGCAATTTGCCTTTTACCATTTGCCAGCTTTTAATGTTAAATGCCCAGGATCTGCAGTTTGTATATATGTAAATCGCTTACATTAGCTCACTTTTGTATTCTTTTTGCAGCATGGTATGCGAAATGTAAATAGACGCATTAGGATTGGGTATTTCACACAACATCATGTCGATCAACTCGAGATGGACATGACTGCCATTGAAGTTCTAGCGCATAACTATCCAGGTAAGAGAACACGCGCGCATATTCAGTATTTTACCTCCATTTTTCGTCGTGATGGTGATATTTTCGTTCTTCATTTATTACGAATAGAAGTTAAAAACTGGTAGGTGTTGGTGTTTTGGCCTTTTTGCTGTGATGAACGTTCTCTATCTTCCATACACGTTAGCCGGGTCATATTATCCTGCTCGTGGTTGTTCTATCTTCCGTTTGTGATTGCGTGCTTATGTTCAGGAAAATCCCAGGAAGACTATCGCACAGCGCTGAGTCACTTTGGTCTGACGGGCGACATGGCCCTGCAGTCAGTCTATACATTATCCGGAGGGCAAAAGTCACGACTTGCGTTTGCTAATATCGCAATGTTGAAGTGAGAATTCAAATCAATTACTTAATAGTTACTTAGTACGCTAGTACATAACATGTGCAAATTTAGTCCGAACTACCTCATTTTGGACGAACCTACAAATCATTTGGACGTTGAGACAGTAGCGGCTCTTGGAGCCTCTCTGAATGCCTTCAATGTAAGCTTCAGGAGTTATAGTAAAGGCACTTCAAAAAACAATGATTTGCATTTTTAGGGAGGCGTGGTTTTAGTATCCCACGATGAGCAACTTATCGAAATGGTTTGTAAGGAACTCTGGGTAGTGAAGGATCGAATGGTGGTGAACCTTGAAGGAGGTCTCGCGGAGTATCGTAAACAGGTCTATAAGCAGCTCCAACTGATCTCCTAAACTCCCAGTTCCGTTCCCATTCTTCTATTTAATAATTAGTAGAATTTTAAATTACCAATGTTTGTACCTAGAATTTATGTGAAGGTCTAGACCCTTTCTGTGATTCAACCATGATTGTTGCTTCCAATTTTGTTTCGTTTTTTTTTTGTTATGTGGGATAGAGAGGATAAAGTTGTTGAATACATAATGATGTGAATATTTGCATACTTTTGCGAGCGCGTTTTTCTTATCCATCAAAACACATCATCGTTTAACAAGCAGTTATTCTCCATCATATTTTGAGAATTGACGATAGATACCGAAGGGAAGGCGATTCAATCTTCTCCCTTCAGTCATCTAGCCAAAGAGACAAAGAAAAGTATTTTGAGGGTATACTACGTTAACAAATGGTCGGTAGGACCATTCACACGACTTGATGCTCCCCAACTACAGTTGTTGTAGGAGATGTGAATGAAAAATATACAGGAAACGCGGGGACGAGAGAAGGCGTTGAAATACAACAACTCATTATGGCTGCGTATTGAAACTGCCTGAATGTTCTCAGAGTAACGCCAGTGGACATTGGAGGTGTGGGAGAAGGAGGAGACACGGGACTATATCCCATCCCTCCTCCTTCCCCCAGGAGCGCATGCGCTGAGCTAGCTTACACGCTTTCCCTTCCACGAGAGAGTGCCTAGAGACTTAAGCTAGCCCGTTAATTGCATTTTTTTAAAGGTATTATTGACTCCTAGTCACACTGAGAAGTGGACGACTAAGTCTGACAGGGTGTTCCGCCAAAGCACAAGACTCACAGCACTGCCCCCGGTCTACTAAATACCTGCACTTAGTTTAGGACGGATTTCTGCATGTTATTGATACTCCCAGCCATAATACCTGACTAAAAGATCCCCTCCATTAACCACTTTGACACTTCCTCACACCCGGCCGCCCGGACTGTGAAAACAGCCAATCTCCGTTTCTGTGCAGCCTACCACGCCCCGCGGTGTCATGCCTTTCCTAAATCACGTAAGCCAGAAACGGCTTGCTCGTTGGTGCTTCTTGATACATGTCGTGACTGTAGCGCATGAAAAGAACGAGTAGATGGAGAGGTTGTGATAGGCTATTGATAATTTACGTGAATTCAATTTACCAGGAGATCTTTTCATTCAGTTGAAATCCACCTCTAAAAGCTTCTAGTCGAGCGTTACTCACGAGTAGCCAATTCTCTTACTTCTCATGACCATGAATGGTTTCATGCTCCAATGCTAAAACACGCGCCGCAACGAGAATGGTTTCATGCTCCAATGCTAAAACACGCGCCGCAACGAAAGGAGCTCTTGATTTTCAGGAACCACAGTAACCCTCTGCCGCGCAAACTTTCGTGGCCTAAATTTGTTGCACTGCGCCTCCATTCCCGGCGCCACCACCCTCGTGGAGAGGTTGGCAGTCCTGTTTTTCTGTTACGTGCAGCTTTGTTCTCAGTTCATGCTCGCATTAGAGTAGTGGCTCTTTCGTTCCAAAGCAAGTTGGAAGCATTTTCAGTGCTGGGTGAGGTGTCGTGATGATCTTCGTCAAGACACTTTTGGGTCAGACATTGACCTTCGATGTTAATGATGTTCTAAGTATTAAATCTCTAATTGCGGCACAGGAAGGAATCGCTATCGAAGATCAGAGGCTGATTTACGCCGGTGAGTTGTCCAAGAGTCGGCGTTTATTATACTTACCAACTTTTTATTTCCCGTACTTCTGATGCTGAATCCCGAGAGAATCCAAAATGGATCTTGAGGACGGACCCAGCTTTTAAAAGTGCATGATTCACTAATGCTATAGGTCGTCAGCTCTCGGACGATGAGGAGGTTGAAGCAGAGTCTACTCTTCACTTATCGCTAAGGTTTGTTTTTGTGGTCTCGAAACGCTTCTAGTCTAAATGGTAAAATTGGTTTCCTGGAACTTGTGTGTGGATCCGAAATAGGCTGTGTTTCTGAGCTTAATTTATGTTTCTTTGCCTTAAACCGTTTCCATACTCATCTTCTCGAGCCTAAAGCACTCTGTTTTAGCCTTCTCGGAGGTGCCAAGAAGAGAAAGAAGAAGGTCTACACAACTCCCAAGAAAATCAAGCACAAGAGAAAGAAGGTCAAGCTCGCTGTATTGAAATACTACGAGGTAAAAACTATGTCTATTTTTTGATGGTACCGGGTATACATTCTAGCAATGATGATAACATTTTTCACATCGGTGTCCTGGCCTCTGAGAGTATCGTGATTGTGTCCTGAGTTTCTGAGCTGGATGAATCCCGGTCTATATTCGAGTTATAGTTCGTCATAAATGGAATTTTTGGATGTTGTGCTACCGTCACTGTTTCAGGTCGATGACAATGGTAAAATCCGCCGACTTCGTAAGGAGTGCCAATCGCCGTCTTGCGGAGGAGGAGTGTTCATGGCTGCTCATGAGAACCGATACTACTGTGGTCGATGCCATGATACTCTCGTCGTGGAAGAGCCAGTGGTCACGTCGAAAGCGAAGGGCGGCAAAGGAAAAAAATAACTTGTTGTTGTTGATAAATTTTGTTATCATGGTTGTTTGTTGTGTTCATTAAAGTCGAATCAAACCGTTACCATATGCCTTTCTGCGTTTGGGACACATTAGCAAAGCTATTGGCCCCTAGTGTTCCGTTACGATTGAAAGGTAGCTGTGGATTCTAAGTATATGGCAAACTCTTCCATTGACATGAGACGGGGTCTTTGGCTCAGTTCGGCATGTTCAATGAAGTGGTGGTTTTGGGTGGTAAATTCTCTGGAATAAAAAGGCAATCGGTCTCAAGCAGTAGTGAAGATCGGAGATGGAGATTGAATTGAAGACAGCTCAGGGTTCGAATCCGCAGGTGTTGGGCAAATGAAAGTCCCGTGACAGTGGGTGTGATGACTCTGCTCAGTTTCCGCAGTCANTCGCCAATATTTGAATTTGGGTAAGCGATTCTTTAAGGAGGAACTACCCTTTGAGTTTAGTGGTTGATGGGTAAGCAGTGTCTAGCTTGGGGACTGCATTATTTGCCTTTAGTAGTTTAAAGTCTATTGTAATCTACTTTTCGGAATCTCTCACAGATGTCAGCCACGAAGCCACGAGGAGTCGACCTCGACGGTTTCGAAATATACGTTTGTTCTGAACGGTGTTTTGAAAAAGTACTGTCTGATGATTTTCATACAACTCCGTAGCATGACCAGTACCATGAGCTCAATATATTTGACAGGTTGAACCATCCGCTTTACCGTTACATCTTGCGCAGGTCTCTTTGTAGCAGTGGTAACGATTGGAGCACGCTATAAAGTGGCATGTTCTGTGAAGTGCTAGCCTTTTTTCGAAATCGTTTTCATATCCATTGTTCTCCAACCGAAGCCTTTAGCTAGTGACAGCTATACCAGATATTGGTTATTGTTTGCTGTTCTGGCTTCTACTTCTATGGGATTACACTACATATTGTGTGGTCTTCTTCGTTCTCTCCTCTCGTTCGTCGCTATGCGTGGTCAATTTGTGTACGCCTTATAAGCACTGTTCTTTTTTAGATATTCTAAAACTGTGGCCTTCTCAAACAATCGAAAATGGGTAAAAAGGTCAAAATTGGAAAACAGCGTCGTGATAAGTATTATAAGTTAGCCAAAGAAGCCGGTGAGGGCATTAGTTCTGAAAATTTTCCGTTGCTTGAATCACATCCGTACATTAATTCATCCGAGTCTGCTTTAGGGTTCCGTTCTCGTGCCGCTTTCAAGTTAATCCAGTTAAATAAAAGATTCGAGTTTTTGCAAAATGCTAGAGCTACGGTTGATCTTTGCGCTGCACCAGGAGGATGGATGCAAGTGGCTGCTCAGAATATGCCAGTTTCCAGCCTTGTCATAGGTTTGCTATCTGTCACCGAAATTTTTAGAATTTGGTGCTTCTAAATGTTCAGAGATTTTGAAGCCTCTAGATTTCAGGTGTTGATTTGGTGCCGATAAAGCCCATAGCAAACTGTATTGCCTTACAAGGTGACATAACCACGGAGAAAACGCGACAGGCTATAAAGAAGGAGTTACAACGCTGGGAGGTTTGTTTTAGTTGATCTGCTTACTGCTTGGAGACTTTATAGCTATTATTTTGTCAAAAGCTTTTAACTGCTAGAAACCTGAGGTGCGTACTGTAGCAAGTGCATCATCCTGAGATCCTTTTCAATGAGCTTGGGGACTAGATCTATTTTGTCCACGCGGAACTCCCATCTGTAACATTTATCGATGGATTCAATTCCACCAGTGTCATTTTGAAATAATAACATTTTGCGGCTTTCAATACTCATTTCGTGAAGTATTTTTAACTTTTTCGCTACATTAATCTTCGCAGTACCACATATCTAGTTCAGTAAAAGATTTTGTTATGTTCAGTAATTTTTCCTTTATACCTTTTCAATATACCTAAGTTGGAAATTTGTACAGGCTGACTGCGTACTTCACGATGGTGCTCCAAATGTTGGTCTGAATTGGGCACATGATGCTTTTCAACAGAATTGCCTCGTACTGTCAGCTCTGAAGTTAGCAACGCAAATACTCAAAAAGAATGGTACATTTGTTACGAAGGTAGGCCATTCACTATCTCTCTAAACATATTTTTCTTGGAATAACCATGTTTGATTTAGGTGTTCCGATCAAATGATTACTCATGTCTTATCACTACATTCGAGAAATTGTTCAAGAAAGTTCATGTATGGAAACCTGCAGCTTCACGTCTGGAATCGGCTGAGATTTTCGTAGTTTGCGAGAAATACTTGAAGCCACCAAAGGTTCGATTACTGATGAACTATTTTGAAGTAGTGCAATTCAAGATAAGTTAAGGTCGCGCCAGAACTCCTTGATCATAAGAAGGTGTTTTCGGAACCTGATGGCCACGAGGTGCAAAAACAAAATCCGTGAGTTGTCTGGTGTTCAACTTTGTTTTATTGTGTATACATCGTCCATTGTTTGAGGCAGACTCTACTTGTTGGAAAGAAGGAATCAACTTTGTTTTTATTGTGTATACATCGTCCATTGTTTGAGGCAGACTCTACTTGTTGGAAAGAAGGAAAAGAAGGCTAGAGCTGAAGGCTACGAAGAAGGAATGCTCTCAGTCTATAAGAAAGTTGATGCTACAACGTTCATTCAGGCTCATGTAAGATCCTTCAGCTTTACTTGGTTTATCGAATTGATAGATTAATAGCTATTATAGGAATATTTGGAACTGCTAGGAGATGCTAGTGAGATCGTTTTGGACCAGGATAAATGGAAGGAGGCTCCTGAAACAACTGAAGAGGTAGTTTTTTGCTTGTGGTCGGTGATCTTATTTCTCTAACCGTTTTTTAGATTCGTGAGTACTTGAAAGATCTAAAAGTTTGTGGGCCACGTGAGCTCAGAAAACTGTTGAGGTGGAGGAAAGCAATGAGGGGAATACTTGAACAGGAGCTTAAAGCTCTTGAAGAGTGAGTTTTGCTCTGTTAAAGGGTTATACGGAAAATTTTTGTCTATCGATCTCATGCTGCCGTTTAGGGAACTTGGTGAAGAAACGCAGCCCGCTCCTGAATTGAATGAAGATGAACTCGAGT